GCCAGGCGCAGCAAGCGTCGCCTGCTCGTCGAGGCCACTCGGGGACTCACCTGGCGGGCACGGAGCGACCAAGCGGAGAAATCAGAAGTCGGTGGCAGCGGCGACGCGACCCGAGGCTCAAGGGCGAGTCGCGGGGTTTTTATCCGGGGGACTCTCCACCCCCACCCCCGTGCCCCCCCTCTCCACCCCTCCGTGCCTCCTCCTCTCCACCCCCCCCCCCCGTGCCCCCCCCCCTCTTCACCACCTCTCCGCAGTGCCCATTCCCGCCCAACGCCCCTTGGGGTGGAGGGGAGAGGGGGAGAGATACGTGGAGTGTGTGGGCGAAGGGGTATCAGTGTGCACGTGTGTGTGAGGTGCTGTTGTCAGTGTGTGTGTGTGTGTGCGTGAGGGGCTGTCATTGGTCAACGTGTGTGAGACAAGGGGTGTGTGTGGAGGGGTCAGTGGTAGTGCAGTGGGGAGCGGTGGCGTAGCGGTCAGCGCGCTGCGCTACAAACCCGGCTACCAGAGTTCGAGTCCCGCTCGCGGCCAACACCGGTGACGATTATCTGAACCGGTGCTCGGCTTCCTCTTGGTCGACTCAGCCGCAAAAACGTACCTATTGTGGTGTATAAACATCGCTACTAGGGAGACTTAGGCGGCCGGGCATGGTGCGAGCCACCCACCCCGTCGTGTGCCGTGCCGACCTTCATAGGTGCTCGCTAACAGCACTTGCCCCTACATTCAGTGGTCAGTGTGGTTGTGGCCGGGTTATCGGCGCGTGTGTATGTTGTTCCGGCCTTAATCGGTGCTCCTTAACAGCACTTGCCCTAACAGTCTGGTAAATGCTATATTGGGGGGGGGGGGGGGGGGTATTGTCGTTGCTTTACTTTGTGTGGAAGCTGTGTCTCAATTTTTATCTTAATTGTTTTCTTGATGTTTATGTATTCGTGAGCTCCTCCGGCAGGCACGGCTGGGTCGTGTAGCCCGCGTGCCCAGCCACCGCATGCCCAAGCAGCTTTTGTTCGACCGCATAGAGAGGGCTGAACGGGCACGACACCGGCTGGAGATGAGATTGGACTCACGTGGTACTGGAGGATGTGGAGCTGAGTGGACTTGCCGGTGACAGGTACCAGCTGTGTCAAGATCGGGTTCTGTGGAGGAGGCTCGTGAAGAACACTACTGGGCAGTGCCAGGCTAGGTGCACTTTGAGAGCTGCTGGGCGATTCGAGGAAGTCGCATTCCAACAACAACGGAGGGAGGAGGAGCGACGCTCACAACAACGAGCAAAGTTATTGCCGGGCGGATAAAACACAATAGGGTGGCAATGTGGGAAGCGCTGGTGGTGCATCTGCCAGTCATCTCAAACAGTCAACTCATTACTCTTCACATGGCCTCAAAGTGCACTTAGCCTGGCACACGTGCCGTGGTAACCTAACCGACACTTCGTGGTAAACTGCAGCTGTTGTGTGTGTGAGATGGCAGGTGCCAGCGGTCAGTGTGTGAGTGTGTCGCGTGTCAGCGATTGTGTGTGTGTGGGGGGTAGATCGTTTGTGTTGAGCGATATGTATCTGTTGTGCTGGCATGTGTGTGTCGGTGTTTGTGTGTGTGCTAGGGGAGCGGTAGTGTAGCCCAACACCGGTGACGATATTGTAAACCAGTCTTGGACCTCCATTAGGTCGACCCAGCCTCAAATGAGTACCTGGTGCGGTGTTGTAAACATCGCCATTAGGGAGACAAAGGCGTCCGGGCGTGGTTGCTGGCCACCCACCCCCTCGTGTGCCGTCCCGACCTTCATAGGTGCTCGCTAACAGCATTTGCCCCAAAAGTCTGTTCAGGCTATACGGGAGGATGTTTGTCTCGTGTGTGTGAATGCAGTATACAAAAAGGCCAATTGTCTATCCGCCCGCCCCCCTCTACCGGGATCATCAGCTGCCCACGAACTCCGTGCCCCGTGCGCATCGGGTTTCTCGCTTGCTGACGGCTGGAAACGTGGGCTGCGTGCTCGCGCGTGCGTGCTGTGCACACGCGAAAGTGGCGGTGTTTTGGTTCCCAAACTTAGCAACTACAGGCGCCATCACGATAGAAGGGGGTGGTGGTGAGGGGGGGTCACGGTGGGTGGGAGCGTTGGTGAGATGGAGGGAGGGAATTGGCAAGTGGATGAAGACCGCTTGCGTTGCGATCGAAACGTCGTGGGTTTTTTGCTTTAGTTATTTTAAATTTATTTTTAATAGTTATTTTATTATTCTAAATTTAATTTTCTATCGATGTGACTTTACCGAAAGAACCAAGAATAAGTGGATGAGCGAGAGGGGTTCGGCTAGGACAGGGAGTGAGGAGGAGTGGAGGAATGGGTGGAGATGAGTGAATGCGAGAAGGCGGTGTGGAAGAGGGAGAGAAAGGAAGAGGAAGGAGGAGTGGAAACATTGACGGCACCACAACAGTGCCCACACTCGCACAGAGACGGAGGCGTGGGGATTATATTGAATTTGAGGGGGGCCCTTATCCACGTGGGTCGATGTTGGGAAACCAAGGGAGGGTATATGGCCTGCCTCGCCTATAAGCTCTGGCGTCAACGTGGGGGCCGACAGGTGTACGTCTGAGCGAAGCATTGTGGCGAAGCGGCTTGATGGGCAAGTCCGTCGTGGGCCACGCCCGAGCCCGCTGTGGCCACTGCGATCTCCTTTCGCATGGATTAAAAAGCAGCGGATTAAAGATGTAATTTCGGATGCTGTTATCCACTCAACTGTCTTTTGTTCAGACGCGGAGTGGATCTCGTCCGTTCCTCCTTTAATGGAGTGAAGACATCAGGAGCAGCAGCGACGGAGTGTTGAAAATGTGGGTCGATGGTTTTTGGGATTCGTGGCTGCACTTCGCTCAGACCGCCGAATCTTCGATGCGCCATTTTTGTGTTCGGGCGACCGCATCGGCCACGTGGCCCGGTCCCGATTCGGTTAATGGTCGATCATCGGCGGCGTGGAAGGTTAAAACCGGGAGGTTCGATAATTATATCCGTTCTCTCTGTACGAGATATTTTATTTCTCGACGTCGGTCGCAGCCCAGACTATCACTTCCATCTCTCGCGCCTGCATTTGCATTCGTGGCGTGGGAGTGAGGCTGCTGTGATGCAGAAGGGGTGGCGTGATTTTAGGCGGCACTGGGTTTAAGTCCCGATGTATCGGAAGGTGTGGTCACGGCGATCTACCGCTTGCTGTGCATTGTCCTGGAAAGGCGGCGCTTCTCAACGCTACTTTCCACATAGCCCGCTCCCGAATGACTTCTCGCAACAGCCTCGGCGAATCAGCACTCGCGCTCCCCACAATCATCCCCCACACCGTGCCCGAAAACTGTTGCCATGACTTGTCCAAACTGCTGACTTCTTCGTGAACCGCTTGTTAGGCAGAGATTGTGTGTGCGCTACCACTTCATGGTCTGCTGTTTGGTTTCACGATCACAGTGGTGAACCCATGTCGCATCCCGAGTCACAGTCCTGCCCCTGAGATCCTCTGGTCCTGCTTGGACCCGCTCCAAAGATGTCCTCTTAAATTTCAACTTGAGCTCCCTTGTGATCAGCGCGTGACATTTTGATCACCCATCATCTTGCTGACACTTTTTTCCACGTGGCCAAGTCTTGCATTACGATAGAATGCGCTGAGCCAGTTCTGATGCCCACTGTCTCGGCCTACGGTCCTGCATGTTGATCTCCCATTAATCGCCCTCTCGTGGACTGCATTAACACATTTTGTGTCAGGCGTGGTGCTCTCCTTAGAGTCAGCACGACCTTCGGCTCATCGTCAGTGCTTGGATCTCGCAAGTTTAAATTCAGATACCCGTTTTGATTTATTACTGTGGCACCTGAAGGGGCGCGGGGGAGGGGGCATCTTGCCCCAGTGTTGCCACCGTGGTCCTATTGGATTTCCTTTGGGGTCATTGAGCCTCTGTGATGGAGATCAGACTCGGAGTCTTTATTTTATCCTGGAGGAATCCAATGAGCTATGAAGCTCTTTTTTCTGTCTCTCACATTAGGGGCCGGTGAGCAAGTCACAACAACAGACAATACCAAAAAAATATATATCACAGGAGTGCAAAGTACAGAAAAGGTAAGTTAGTCACTAAAAATAGATAAAAAATGTAGTATATAAGTTAAAATCGCACAAGCACATAAATTCCTTCTAATTTCAAGCTTACTTCATCAAAGCTATTATTTAATAATACTAATAAACAAAAAAAATCAAAACCTTGGTTTAATGACTCACTTTGACGTGTCCTCGTATCGAGATTAAACAGTTACAGATCGCAAAGAAACACGTGGACATGTCGGAATTGTTTTTATTCATCTGCGAAATAAGTTGGGCCCTTCGTACATCATTGCATGTCTCAAGGTTAGAGAGATACTTTTCAGAACGTCCCTTGTGCACACAGCACAATCGTGGGATGAAGGATCGCTCACAATACATTCGTATGTACGTAACATTTGGGGTGGAGGTTGGTAGCGCTGTGGTGAGGGGCCGTCCATAAATGACGTCACGCACCTGGGGGGGGGGGGGGGGGTTGAGAAATGTGACGTCACATAAAAATGCGCAATTTTAAATATAGACAACACGTTGTACTTAATTAAATATACTTTTTGATACAAGTTTCTCCTACAACATCAGAGTGCAGCGGCACATTAAATACGCATTACAATGACAATAGTTTAAAGCGATTTCAAGCATGTTTTATATTTTTTGGGGGGGGGCAGAGCTTTGTGACGTCATATTTGAGGGGGGGTCTGACTTTTTGTGACGCCGTGTGACGAGGGGGGGGGGGTCAAAAATCGTCCAAAATCGCGTGACGTCATTTATGGACGGCCCCTTAACGCCCTGGACTTCTCATGCGGCCACCTGAGTTCAATCCCTGGCCGCAGCTAACATCGGTGGCTCCTGCACTGACCAGCCTGGTGAAGTATGGTCATCCAGCAGAGGATTGCCATGGGAGCTCTACATTTTTACGTACTTAACACGTGCCTACATTTTGTATTACATTTGCAATACCGTATGTCGGCCAACCATGCATTTTCTAGCACGGATAAGCGTCTGTAGGCGCACTCTTAATTCCCTACCACTAATAGGTATCCGCGCGAACCAACGTCTGCATTTCCCAACACGGATAGGCGACGTCCGGAAAGCGCACTACATTTCCTACCACAGATAGGCGCATAGGGAAGGCGGTCTCTACATTTCCCAGCGCGGATAGTTCCCGTGTCGGAACAGGCTCACGAACGCGGGTGCCGGGGCAGCGGACGGGGTCAGCGTGGGCAGGGTAAGAGGGCAGGGTGAGGGGGGGTCAGCACAGGAGGAGGGTACGGGACAGGGCAGCTCACCCCCCCCAAGTGCTTTGGGTAGATTCGGTCGGGGGGGGGGTCTCAGTAGGGACATCTTTGCGCCGTCCGGGCCTCGGGCCAACACGTGTAGTAGCTAAGGCAGGAGGGGGGCAACACGTGGAGTAGCAGACTCAGGCGGGGGGGGGGGGGGCAACACGTGTAGTAGCTAAGGCAGGAGGGGGGCAACACGTGGAGTAGCAGACTCAGGCAGGAGGGGGGGGGGGCAACACGTGTAGTAGCAGGCTAAGGCAGGAGGGGGGCAACACGTGGAGTAGCAGGCTAAGGCAGGAGGGGGGGCAACACGTGGAGTAGCAGACTAAGGCAGGAGAGGGGGCAACACGTGGAGTAGCAGACTAAGGCAGGAGGGGGGGCAACACGTGGAGTAGCAGGCTAAGGCAGGAGGGGGGGCAACACGTGGAGTAGCTAAGGCAGGAGGGGGGGGCAACACGTGGAGTAGCAGGCTAAGGCAGGAGGGGGCCAACACGTGGAGTAGCAGGCTAAGGCAGGAGGGGGCTAAGGGTTGAACGTAGCCTTCGTATTTGTTGGTGGGGTCTCAGCAGACACCGGGGTCACTGGCCGTAGGGTGGCTGGGGTTGTAAGGCGTCTTGATGGTGGTGGAGCCGCTCGGTCTCCCAGTTGTCGGACACATGAGTTCGATACCCGTTACAATATGTATTATTGCCTTCATCATGCCCGTCACGATCGTCGCGTTATCAACCCCATCACGTTACGGCATGTTTTGGCCAATCCACTGCTGGATGAGGGCCACGCCAAGCCACGCGCGTCTTGGGGACGGGGTTATCCCAGTCCGGTACCGGACCGTATTCTTCGCCACGCTGGTCAACGTGGGTTGGCGAACGCGGGGAACATAGACCCCGGAGCGTAGTACAGTACAACCACGTATGTTTCTGCATTGCCCACAACGCAGCCGGCAGCAGCAGCAGCATTGAGTGCAAGATCTCGTTGCCAATGTCGCGGTCCGCTTACTGCTGCTGCTGGCCACGCCGAGAGGACTTCAGCAGTGAGAGAGACATAATTCGTGTCGTTTTGATGCTTCGCCTCCGTTGTAAGTACAGACTCCCGTAGTAGGGTGCTTTCCATGGCCACATCGCATGTGACCGGGTATAAAATCCCACCCTGTATGTAATCCGGTCCGCACTTTTATTCCCAAGCGAGGGAATTCAATCTTCGGTGTGGTGTGAGTGACACGGTGTCCAGGGGCCGCCGCGTGTGTTGACGATTCAATCGTGGATTCTGTGGGGGCCCTAACGCTGTTGTTTCTGAGGTTACGACACGGGGGCCCAGTGGGGTCAGCTGTGTAGCACAACTTAACTTGAACGTTTCGCGTATTTTTCAATCCAGGGTAAAACAAGCGAAGCGTGCCCGTGAATGTGGGTTTTCGTAACTGGCCCACGAATCGACACCATCGTAATTTTCGGTCGCTAGCAGCGTTGGCCCGGCAGCAGCAGTCCTGCATTATTCTCCATCATCGCGGATTCCCTCTTCTTTTGTGTCATCGGCCGTTCTTCCACAGGGCTTGCTTGTAGCTTCTTCCACATTTGCTAGGAGCTTCCGCTGATCTTAGAGTCTCAGATCTCCCACATTCATTTCGTACCTCCTCCTACCTTACACGTCTATTGCACTTTACTCAATCATCCCGATGCAATCCCCCCGGGGTTTGCTAGCCCTGATTGTTTTCAAATCACTGTTCCCCTCCTTGCTCTCTTCGTTATTTTTGGGCGATGACGCAGCCTGTAGCGGCGGCGCGTTCGCCGCTCGTTGTTGCGGAGGTTCGAAGTTCCAATCCAGCGTCCGCCCTGATTAATACCGCGGGTGCAGCTACACTAAAAACTATATAAAAAATAAATGTTTATTTAACCAGGTGAGGCCCATTGAGCTTTATCGTTCTTTTACAGATGCTACCTGGCCACAAATGATAGCTCAACAAAGTGGCTTATTATTTGTAAATGTGTAGTACACCGTGCAATAATACAAGTGCCGTCTGCTTAATAGTGGACGTTAATGATCCGCTGACGTCGTTCGCAGCAGGAGGCCGTTGTGTGCCGGCACTAGGGTCGAAATAAAAAAAGATATCTGCAAATAAACTTTTTTTTTTTAAAGCAGAGCCATCATTGCCACCGACTGGCAGAGTAATGCCCCAGGTAACTTTTGCAAATTAGACTATCCTGTTCTTCTTAAGTTCTCAGCTGGTGAAACAAAATATACTTGAAACCCGTCTATGAGATGTAAATTGTCGCGAGATATAAATTGTATACGAGGGGGCCTGGTGACTCTGGGAGCTGATACGGTGTCAGAGATACATTCTGAGCCATCACTCCTGAAATCTGTAAGCCACCTGTGTTTAAACTGGGTTCTCAAGCGTAGCGAGTTATGCAATCTGAATTTCGATTTAAAGCTTTCGTGACTGCAAGGATTCATCTTCTTTGGTTCTTTCGGTAAAGTCACATAGAATGAGAATAAAATAAAATAACACAATAAAATTCTCACGACGTTTCGGCCACAACGCAAGCGGCCTTTGAAGCTCTGTCGTCCCGACAGGTCTGTACCTTTCACCTGAAGATGGCCGCTTGCGTGGCGGAAACGTCGTGAGAATTTTATCGTGTTATTTTATTATTTTATGCAATCTAGTTTTTTTTCACTGAAGCTGACTAAATTCCACACCTGAGAATTCGTCGCGTCCGTCTGATTGCGGGGGCAAACCAACGGCGCGAGCGTTGATTCATTTGTTGAGCCACGTGCTTGTGAGACGGACTCGTAGAGTCGGAGCTCGCCGAGTTCGCTCCGCTGGTCGGACCGCGAGCTTCCCCGGGGAAAAGGGGGTGGGGGGGGCGGGGCCTGGGTACCGACGAGGGGTCCGACTTGAACGCTGATCCATCGCCGTCCCCATATATGTGGACAAAGAGACCTGCTGATGGTGATGCTCAAGGATTCATTTTGTAACATTCTTCCAGGGCACAAGGCGGTGCACCGCTCGCCGCTGGAGCTTCAAACGAATGTTTTGTCACTTCGCGACAACAGCACCGCCAGGAGCACAATTTGAATATGATTGTGATCACGTGCCTTTGACCTCTTCACCCAGAATGCGCCTGATCTCACCGAAGTTAAGCCGAGTTGAGCCTTCAGCGTGCTTGGGCGGGTGACCTCCATGCAAAAACAGGTTGCTGTAGGCTCTGGGATTATGTGGTGGGCAGCTGAGGGCATTGCAGTAACATCAATTGCGGTACTGTACAACAACGCTCCCACATCTATGCTCTCCACGTTCACCAACCGTCGCCGACCGGCTTGCTTCAATAGAGTGGTCAAACGAGCCCCGCGCACTGCACGGCATGCAGGAGACCCTCATTAAGCGCTGGATCGATAAAGAGATGCAACGAGGTCGAACTGTACACGTGATCGCTTACCGCGCACCCCTGACCCTCGCCCAACCCCCCAAACAGCAGGAGAAGGAGCGACCGAGCGTACGCGCAACGCTCGCATCTCGGGCGACATGAGCTTTGCGGAGTACGCCGAGCGAGTGCGCGACGGCGACACGGTCATCCTCTACCTGGGCCACGACGCGCTGCTGCCCGTGCGGGCCAAGGCCGGTGCCGTCACCCAGACGCGCTTCGGCGCCGTGCGGCACTCGGACGCGCTGCTGGGACGCCCGTTCGGCTCGCGCGTGGCCTGCGGCCGCGCGGGCGGCTGGGCCTACGCGCTGCACCCGACGCCCGAGCTTTGGACGCGATCGCTGCCGCACCGCACGCAGATCCTCTACAGCACCGACATCGCCATGGTGACGCTCATGCTGGACCTGCGGCCTGGATCGGTGGTGTGCGAGTCCGGTGCGTTGTTGATGTCGTGGCGGCAGCGGTGGCGTTGACGGCGGCGGTCGGCTTCTTCGAATGTGCTGGTGTTTGCTATTGTTGTAAATGTGTTTTGAGACCAAGCTCTCTGTGAAACTGCGTGGTTCTGTGAATACGCAATATAAAAAGTGAGCAGTACGTGAAAAGGGGCACCGGCAAAATGGAAGTGGTGATAGGGGTCAGGTTAGGGCCTTTGGAAGGACCCGCGCTTGTGTCTGGTTGGTAGACGAGGATGCATCGAAGCATGATCATCGCTTTCAGTCGATTCTCACGCTGGAGGTACATGAATCGGATCGTACAGTGTAACAATTGATTGCGTACAATATGCAGATTAGTTGTAAGTACTACTAATGTTAACACAAAAGTGAACACAGTGACTCGTGTGACAGACGCCATCTGCGTTTTCTGTTTAAATTGGAGCCTTTGCACGGCGGGGAAGAAAAACGATTCCCAGGTGAATCATCACAGTGCACTGCCGACCACTGCACTACCACTCCAGAATTGCGATTAACCCATTCTCACTTGCCGTTACCTGACGGTGGCACGTCGCGTCCTCTCTGTTTGGTCCGATTAAATTCGTTCGGCCAATCGAATTCGAGCAACAACGAACCGGGGGTTAGCTTTGTGTGAGCAAAGGGTTAATGGCGTGGTCATCGTCGCCCGTGTCCCGCCCCTCGCCCCCGCCGGCGGCCACAGGCACGGGGAGCGGCTCGCTGTCGCACGCGCTGCTGCGCACCATCGCGCCCTCGGGCCACCTGCACACGGTGGAGTTCCACGAGCAGCGAGCGGCCAGCGCCGCCGAGGAGTTTGAGCGGCACGGCGTGGGGCGGCTCGCCACCGTGCGCTGCCGGGACGTCTGCCGCGACGGGTTCGGCGTCGCCGGCGTGGCCGACGCCGTCTTCCTCGACATCCCCTCGCCCTGGGACGCTGTCCCCCACGCGCGCGACGCCATGAAGACCTCGGGTCTGTGCCACGACATTGACCCCCAACTCCGCGATTCGCCCCCTCTCTTTCATTCGCTTCCCTCCTCTTTGACTCGCCCCCCCCGCCTCCTCGATTTGCCCCCCACTTCCGCGATTCACCCCACTGACGTGAATCATCACCCACTTCCACCATTCACCCTCACCTCCGTGATTCGATGAGAGGTCGTAATTTTGGGGTCACAGCGCATGAATTTGATTCATTTCTTCACTTTTACCACCATGTGCATCTGTAAAATCTGCATTGTGTAAGAGGTCAGTGAGATTCCTCGTCCCATTTAGCGGGGGAGACGGTGAGCTCGCGTATTTGTAGTGTTGGTTGATTGTCTGCACCACGGCTGTGACGCCGACACAAACACAATGGCTCACTCTTGTGAAGGATCTTAAGACACTGCAACATCTTCAACGTCGTCCGTGCAGCAGAGGCTGCGAACAACCGGCCTGTTCCCCAGTGCGTGACGTTGATGCCGAGTGAGCTCACCTGCCTGCGCTCGAATCTTGGCCATGAATAACCTGTCCTGAGCCTCCGCTCCGTCAGTTTCTCTCCGCCTCGCACGAGCGCGTGCTTGGTCCTGTGCGTAAACCGTGGCACTGGGGAGAGGACGGTCGTGTGCCCGTGGCATTCCCAAGGGCCCGCTCGCTAACAACGCTCCCCCCGAGATTCCGCGGTGCTGAAAGCGGTTCCCGTGCGCGCGTGCGTCGGCGCAGGCGGGCGCCTCTGCTCCTTCTCCCCGTGCATCGAGCAGGTGCAGCGCACGTGCCAGGCGCTCGCGGGGCTCGGCTTCGTGGAGCCCTCCACCGTCGAGGTGCTGCTGCGCCCGCTCGACGTCCGCACCGTCAGCCTGCCGGTAACGCGCGCCGGCGTGGATGCGCGGACGCGCGGGCGCGCGTTCGAGCGGCGGGAAACCCGCGACTGCGGCAGCGCGGACACCGCGAGTGGCAAATGCGGCAGCCCTGGGTTGAGCGTGCGTGCGCGCGCCCCTGGGAATTTACGCGGCGTCTGTGTTCGAAGAGTTTACGCGAGACCGCGTGAGTACAAGCACCCACGCAGGTCTGCGGAGGTGCACGCCCACGGACGTGGGAGATGTTGCATCTCGGCGAGTCGAGGTGCACCTGCGCTCAGATGCTCTACAATCCTCGTCTGTGTAATTACGAGTACGCGTTGACGATTGGGCATCCGCACAACAGTGAATGCGTGCGCGTGTCACCACGTGTACACGTGTCACCACGTGTACACGTGTTCACAGGTTGCATTTATGCGCCCGTTAAAGGGCACGGCCCTATCGAAGGCGGCGCCGTGCGAGCAAACGCATTCCTGCGGGAAGTCGTCCTTGCTTCGTCAAATTCCCGGCGGCAGCTGCGAGCGGCGAGAGAGACAGCTGATCGCGTATTCCGGTGCGCGTGTTTTGGGCGCAGGTTCCGGACCTGGGGCAGGGGGGCGTCCGGGCGTCCGGCGATGGGGGGCGGCCCCGTCCCCCGCACGCCGTGCCCGCGGGGGTCGTGGACAGCTCGCGGGGGGTTTACAGCTTCAAGGCGGGCTGCCCCCCCAGGGAGATGCCCGGACATACCGGGTACCTCACCTTCGCTACGCTTCCTCCGGCGGCGGCGTAGCCGGCGTCACAAGATCAACAGTTCACTTCTCCGCTTATTTTTTTTCTTTTCTATTCCACGCCCTCCCTCGCCTCGTGCATTGATGGGCACAGATCAGCGTTCAGACGTTCCGGGGAATGCCTCCGCCTCTAAAACTCCCCGTCGCGTCGCCGTGTGCGAGCGGCGAAAGGCGGGCTTGCCTCCTCGTGCTGTGGTTCGATTCGGTTCGCTGCCTTTTGCTCGAGTTGAGCGGCAGCCCCGAGAATCTGCCGGGCAAGGAACCTCGGCACCACCTGCCGCTGCCACTGCCCAGTTGGACTCTCGATGCTTCCACCCTCTCGCTCCTCTGTGCCCCCTAATCCAAAACCTAACCCGCAACCTGAACCCTAACCCTCGGCGTCTCAGCCGCCCTCGTTGAGCTTGCAAAAAACGATCACTGACACGCGGGTCAGCGGAGGGTGGGTGTGGTGGGGGGGGGGTGGTGCTACCGCGTGCTTCGTCCCGCGCTGTTGATCGCCGTTTATCGGTGCAACCAGGCGGTCCTCGTGCCGCGGAGGTCACGGACCGGGGAGGGGGGGTGAAGGGGGTTTTAAATTTAGGTTCGCCGAGCGTGGCGCCGACCTCTTGAGTCGAACTCGGATCCCGGTGCGGGGAGGGTGTTGCCAAGTAGGTGGCACGTCGGGATGGGCGCGGCGGGGTGCGCGCTGGGGAAGGGGGCACCACAATGCGGATAAAAATACCCGCGCCCTGCGGCGCAGCTGTTGCCGCTCGTTAGCCCGCGCTGTAAGCGGCGGTATTTTATAATTACATTTTTTTTCAAGGAGGGAGCTATAGCGGTGTGCGTTGGGTAGCCGCGAGTGTGCCTCCTGTTTCGTTTGTACAGTAAATGTTTTTCTTTTTAGATTTCCAGAGGCGCGCACCCCATTAGAAACTCCCGACGACGTCATTTCATCGTGCGGGGCCGCACCTGCTCCCTCCAGTTTGGAGAACTCTGAACCGAGTAGTTTTTTTTTTAAACTCATGTTTTATTTGAATGCAACAAAATATAAATGATTTGTCCTTTTCCGCAATTTTGTCCGGATTGTGCTTTTGGTGTTGTGTCTTGAGACAAGTCCATTTGGGCCCGTGGAAGTGGAAATTGCAGAACTACTGCTGAGAAGCCTCTTCAGATGACCTTCACTCTACACATTAGGGTGCAGCATTTTCACATCCACCCCGCTTTACAGAGAAATGAGCATCGCATGAGAGTCAAATGGATATTTATTTAACTCGCAGAGATGAAATTCAACAAAATTAGGTGCAAGCCCAAAATTAATGTGAGGAGTCTTTTTTTGTGCAGTCATTGGTGACTGAACTGAGACCATCAACTCCACCAGTTTAACAGTTCAATCACTGACAGCGACCTCGATTCGTACCCAAAGTCCCAGCTTAGCTCAGCTCTTTGACCTCTTGAGCCACCTGGTCTTCTCAAAATATGTAATTTTGTAAGTAACAAGCCCCCTGAAGTTTTGCATACGACCCCAGTAACCGGTTGTCGTGCTCGCTTATCAACGAGCGGCCGTGGCTCGTGCGTGTGTGTGTGTGTGTGGAGCTGTGCCTCTATCTGCCCCTCACTTTGTACCTCCGGCCCCCCACCCGCCAACGCCCCCCAACGCCCCCCGCCACGGCGCCGTCTCTAATCCTGGACGCAGCTGTTGACCCCTCCTGCCGCCCCCTTCCACCGTGGAGCGCAGCGTTCCCTCGGGAGCCGACACTTGCGTCAACAGAATTCCTTGCAAGGATCTCGTTTTTCCTGGCTCATCGTTTTTTGTTACTGTGGGTGGTGTTTTTTTTCTTTTCTTGTTTCAAGCAGAAATAGAACCCTGGAATGCCTTTCCAGGCAGGGGAAAGGGGTGTCCGTGCGTTGTTTGGCAAAAGCAAGGTGCTCCACGTCTCATTTCTCCCTCATTCCAGTATCCCGGGTTCGGGACACCTTGAGTGTCCGAGCAGGGTCTTAACAGCCGGGGTCGATCCGGAGGTCCTGGGTCAGGTCCACCACCCTTATACGGTGTGCACGGGCCTGAGATGGTCGTCGAGGGGCCCGGTCAGGGGATCCAGAAAGGCCTGGGGTGGGGTCAGAAGCTCAGAGATAGAATCCCGTGGGGCCGTGAAGGCCTCCGATGCGTGCCGTGGGTTTGTTGCCGGATGCGTAGCCGGGGGCGTGGTGCAGAAACACGAACCCGAAATACTTTGCCACCATCGCCATTGACAAACTGTGTCCCCGCGGCAATGCTGTAAATTGAGCCGACCGTCAGGGCAGTTGCCTCTGGCCGGTCGTCTTGGTTCTCAAATGGTGAGCAGGTTTGATGGTCTCGCATCACTTGCCATTGAGTGCCACAACCCATCGTGGTTATTGGCCAAATTGAGGCAAGGAGGGATCGAAGCACGGAAAAGAGAGAAGGCAAGGGAGGAGGGCGACGAGGGAGGGAGAAATGCGCTTGCGGAGCGTCTAGAGAAGCATCTCACGATGCTTTACAAAAAAGCAGGACAACCGCAGCGCGGCGTGCGGTTGGAATCGCTTCATGGGGATGCGGGCGGTCGGGCAAGTCGTAGGCAGAGGTGAAGAGAAAGTCCCCCCAACCTGCACCTGAACAGCGGCAGGAAATCCGCAGCCGCGGGTAGCCCGAGGAGGACGTTTCAGATCAAAGGCAGCGGCAGCAACAGCAGCAGGGAATTTCGAGGCTCCCCACGGAATAGGGGATAAGGAAGTTTGCCAGGGAGCTGGAGCAAAGGGGGCGCACGAAGATTGTAATCGGCTTGCAGCGCTATGACGAAGGACCGTTGCCCGACCTGTCGCCTACCTTTTTCGTTTTCACTTTTAAGGCTGTGTTATTGACGAATGTTTTGATTTTGTTTTAAGATGTAACATACAGTCCTTGGGAGACGTCAAAGTCGGAGATTGCGGTCTTGGGGGACTGGCTTGGGAAGCGGCGGAGCGGATCTGAGGATCGGGGTGATGCGGTTTCACTTACGAGCGTGGGCAAGGAATCTTGCGGCGGCGGCGTTCTGGATCACTTTGGGGGGAGGAGGGGGGGGGGAGTGAGGGATTTTGGGGAGGCCGTAGAGGAGCGAACTGCAGGTGCTCGGCGACAGCCGGGGACGAGGAACTGGAAGATGTTGGGAGATGTTGCACCGGTGGACGAACAGGTCCAGCAGAGCAGACACAAGTTCGACAGCAAATATTTGTTCCCGCCAGCGCAGGAATGGTCATGCATTCCTTCCCCCGCACCTCCGATTCTTTCCCCCCGCACCTCCCGATTCCTGGCTACGTAGAGTGCGAAAGAAGTTCAACATACGGACAGGAGGCGAAGGTTGTCTGGCGACAGAGATGTAGGGAATTAAATAATTACATTCGGAGGGAGACGCTGAAGAAGGAAAGAATGGAGTCTGCAAGGCAGGGAGGGAAACGGGGGAGCAGGGCTGGCGCTGTGCGGAATGCCGTAGCTCTGGGCAGCAGGGCCCAGACACGGTGCCGCCAAGGTGACCGAGCGCCGTGACGCCGCTCGGCAGCTGCAGGAGCCCAGTCGCAGCGGGTCGCGAGGCCCTGGCATCGGGCGAGGGGACGGAGGGAGCCGGGGATTTTTGTTGACCTTCCCCGGCACATCCGATTGGCGCGGTTGGCTACGTACAGTGCAAGAGGAGTGCAACGTGCATACGCAGATTCATTTCTCTCCTTTGCGGGTCTCCATTGGACGACGTGGGCATCTTGGTGAGAAATGCCCTTGGTGTGGTTTTGAGTGCAAATGAGGCCTCACTCCTGAAGACGGTGACGCCCAAGGCACGTGTGGGCAACTGTAGAATTTCCACCGATGTTTTGAGACCAAAGATATTTGCGCCAGCACACGAAGCGGTTTGAGCGTTGGAGTGAGATCTTGTGCACGACACTTGCTGAGAATGGTCTTGGTCTGCATCCCGGCGACGGCTGCCTGCCTACGCATAGATAATTATCACTTGCCACAGGAATGTGGAATTTCAACCACGGGCCGATGAATAACAAGCACCACGTCACTCTCATTTGAAGCAGTTTTCACTTTTAACGTCCGGCGTTAAGCCGCTTGCAAATTCGGTCGTTTGTCGCGTTAAGTGAGTCGTTAGTGTTAAGTTAGTCGTTAGTGTTACGTTACCGTATTTTCCCGCATATAACCCGCGGGGTATACCACTTTTTACAAACAAAACAAGACCCTGCGGGGTATATGGAGGTGCGGGCTATCTCAAAAATGTTTTACACGTGTGACATGTCGTAACTGGTTACATTTTTTCATGGTAGGACTATCCACTATGCAACACCTTTAAAGCACTGCTGAATAAACCACTCATACTAAAATTGCACATGTTATCACGTTTCGAATTATTCCAATTTGTACAATAAAACGACAATGTTTGAAGTGGGCGCACTGTGTTTACTGGCGACGGGAGAGCTGGGGGGAGGGAGAGGTGGGGGTTGGGGGGTGGGGCAGAGCAGGGTCTGTGGTAGTGACGGGAGAGCGAGGGGGAGGGAGAGGTGGGGGTTGGGGGGTGGGGCAGAGCAGGGTCTGTGGTAGTGACGGGAGAGCTGGGGGGAGGGAGAGGTGGGGGGGCGAGGCAACGGCGTTACCGTAGTGCCGTTATTATCTGCGCAGTGCGCAATCTAGCAGTGCTAAAACTGTACTTATCTACCAGTTATGTGTTACTTATTTATTGGATATTTAATTTTGCTACTTATTTACTGTTTTAAGTTCACTCGTTTCCGGTTAGTTTGTTTTCTTTGTGCACGTTATGATTGTAATGTTAACAATCGATAGTGGAATGTATTACAAATGTAAACTTCGTATTAATATGATGGAATTAAGCTGCGGTAACGACTTTAAAGATATGAATGCATGCGGCTATATGGAGGTGCGGGCTATCTGGAATTTGTTTTACACAAACCGCTATTTTTGCGGGTGATATGCGTATGCTGGCTATATCCGGGACAATAACGTAGTCGTTCGTGTTAAGTTAGTTGTTAGTGTTAAGTTAGTCATCATGTTAAGTTAGTCGTTAGAGTTAGTCGTTGGTGTTAGTCGTTAGTGTTAAGTTATTAGTGTTTAGTTAGTCGTGTTGAGTTCGTCGTGTTGTTAGTCATGAGTGTTAAGTTAGTCGCCAGTATTAAGTTAGTCGTTAGTGTTAAGTTAGTCGCTCGTGTTAAGTTAGTCGCTAGTGTTAAGTTAGTCGTTAGTATTAAATTAGTCGTTAGTGTTAAGTTAGTCGCTACTGTAAAGTTAGTCGCTACTGTAAAGTTAGTCGCTAGTGTTAGGTTAGTCGCTAGTGTTAAGTTAGTCGCTAGAGTTAAGTTAGTCGCTAGTGTTAAGTTAGTCGTGTTAAGTTAGTCGCTACTGTAAAGTTAGTCGCTAGTGTTAAGTTAGTCGTGTTAAGTTAGTCGCTCGTGTTAAGTTAGTCGTTAGTGTTAAGTTAGTCGCTACTGTAAAGTTAGTCGTTGGTGTTAGGTTAGTCGTGTTAAGTTAGTCATGTTAAGTTAGTTGCTAGTGTTAAGTTAGTCGTGTTAAGTTAGTCGTGTTAAGTTAGTCGCTAGTGTTAAGTTAGTCGTGTTAAGTTAGTCGCTAGTGTTAAGTTAGTTGAGCGATAGGAGGTCGTGCGCTGTCCTTGCTCCACTTAGTCTACCCCCACCCCCTGTCGGGTCACACTCCGCCAGATCCCTTCCTTGCCTCGTGCCCCCACAGCTCAGCAACTCTTCCCCTCCATCTCCCATCTACAATAGACAATGGCAAAGATCCCCCGTGTAGCCTGAACAGACTGTTGGGGTAAGTACTGTTAGCGTGCACCTACAGTGAGGGAAAAAAAGTATTCGTACGTTTGCCCACTGACAAAGAAATGATCAGTCTATAATTTTAATGGTAGGTTTATTTGAACAGTGAGAGAATAACAACAACAAAATCCAGAAACACGCATGTCAAAAATGTTATAAATTGATTTGCATTTTAACGAGGGAAATAAGTATTTGACCCCCTCAATCAGAAATATTTCTGGCTCCCAGGTGTCTTTTATACAGGTA